TGAAATGAAATGAAAATTTAGAATAAAGGTCTTTTCAGAATGTAAGATAATGAAAGTTAAAAATAAAGTAAGATATGATAAGGCAAAAAGTAATTCATTTGAACTAACTTAGTTAAAATAATTTGTTTATTACTTCTTAGCAGTTCTCCAATACATACAACACCTTAGCAACTTGCTTATTTCACATAGCAACCGGCAAAATTATTAAATACACGAGATATTTTAATTGTTACTATTAAAATTTATCAATACAGTGAGAAATACATATTGTTATTGTTAGGGCAAAAAATGTTTGTTATTGTTAGAGTAAAAGAATCAAAATGCATCTTTAGATTGTATTAAATCTCTTCTTCTCTTTCATCTTTAAGTTTTCATGCATTTCTGAGAATTAAACGAATAGTTTCATCGAAGCCTAAATAGAAGCCTAAATATTCAATCCATTCAAGCCTGAACATCACTTACACATTTGAAATCTCATTTTTCAAATGATGCTAATTTCAATAATATATTGATTAGAGCACTATTTTTAGTTTAATGTTTTAATTCATTTTATCTCAAGCATATTCAAAGGACATATACATCTAATAATATATTATTACTGATAAAATGATATTAGTGAAGCTTTCTCCCTCATTGGAAGACCGATAAAGAGCGGGAGAGAGAGATGAAATTTAGAAATTTTATCAATTTTATCATCTATGGTTAAATAAATTAATGGAAAAGTAAATTTTAATTGCAGAAGTATTTTTTTCAACTCATACATTGTTGAATAATGAAAGTGATGATAAAGAGTAGACAACTCATTTCATATTTTACAACAGAAATACATTTCAAAAAAATTTTTCTGCAAAAGTAGTTATTGATCCACAATTATCAACAAACATTTAAAATTGGCCCAATCAGATTATAACTGATATTCATAATTGGATGATTATGATAATAACCGACACACATACTCCATTGTTTCGTAATATTGATTTTTTTTCCAAATTCACCAATAATCTGACTATTTACAACTTCTGGCCACCATTCCATATCTCGAAAACTAGACATATAACGTAAATATTTCCGATCAAACATATCATAGTTTAATATAAATTCCATTATTGATTGCAAGTATAATTCAGGATTCACAGAGTCGGAAAAATGCAGAAAGTTGCTTTTCTAATCAATGGTAATTTTAATTTCACAAAATTTATTTATCACTGACAAAATGTTTGCATTGTCATACTTCTTAATTAATGAAAATATGTCTAAGTTTAATTACGATCATCTCAAATTAACACTCCAAAAGCATGATTATTTCAGAATTAATTCAAATATATGCATCATTGATCACACTTAGAAGCCATGTCAAAATTACAACTTTGTTTATTCATATCGCCACTTATCAACGCTTGCGAAAACATTCATTTTCTAACCAAAATAGTATAAACCTTTACCTTTTTCTTTAATTACATACATGTGTATACTAATTATTCCAATACGTATCATTTATAATGTAATTAGTCTTAACATTTTTACCAACTCTATAAGTGATCTAACAAATAAGCCAAAATATCTTTATTACTTCATATCGCAAAATCCATTTATCATTTTTATATCACAACGCTCGAAGTGAATTTGCCTTGTAAAATTAATGACTTAATTTGTATTATGCATATAAAAATAGTCTTATATTTTTTCAAGTATTATGTTTAGCACGGTTATGTTTTATTATTATTATTATTATTATTATTATTATTTCTCATAAAATTCATTTCAAACCGGGAAATAATTGAATGAGTGTTATCATGAAATATGTATTACATTGTTCCGAAAATAAAACAAAAAAGATTTGTCTAAAAAAAAATTAATGGAAAGAAAATAATATCTAACAACAAGAAACAGACATGTCAAATATTATAATTTCCTACAAATACTGAAAATTTAGATAACGCCTGAAAGCTGTATCATCACGTAAAGTTAATATTCCAAAAAAAAAAAAAACAAAAAACTTTTGTAAATTATTTTATTAACAAGGAAGTCACCAGTAACCTAAAATTAGTGATTTTGTTTTTAGAATGCATGTTCTTCCTAAGAGACTCCATGATTAGATCACATCATATAGTATGAAAAAACATCCTGCTCTGATTAATCGGAAAATCTTGATAGTTCGAAAAAGCTATCAAGATTCCTTCAATACAGTTCATTGACGAGATGAGAAGTACAACGATATTGTTGACCACTTTACATAACTCAGGATAAATTCTACATCTAGATATATAAAAAGTGAAAGGCAGAGAACTAAATAAAGCCGATGCAAATTTACACTTGAATACAAATACATCTGCAAAACTACATGATATTTCAGGTTTTCTTGGATAATTTCCATTGGTAAAGTGTTCCATCATTGGCACCATCACTAATCAGCAGTTCCCCAACAAAAGCAATATTTCGTGAGGAGACACTATAACCGTATGTTTCCTTATATGAAGCCTAAAAATAATTTTCAGTATAGCTTCTTTTCACACTTAAAATCGATAAAGGAACAGCAAGAGAAACGAAGATTCATTGGAAATAATAAACTGAAAAAATCCTAGCCTTGGAGAAGCATTCAAATCTGATTCCTTTTACTTTTAAATTTTTACTTAAATTAGAACAAAGTCCATATTCGAGGAGGTCTACTACTAATAAAAATACTTTAGGATTAAAGATTGAATCAAAAAGATGAAGAAATCTTGAGAAGATAAATTTTTTAAACTAGTTTCGAACTTTTCTAAAAAAACCTTTTTAGAAATTAAAAATTACCAGAATCGTTGTTGTCGGATACTGATAGAAACGAAGCATGCCATTAGATAGAGCTACTGCAACATACTGCTTATCGGGACTACGATCAATGGCAGCAACAGATTTCATTAAAGCATATAAAATGCAAGCATTCTCAAATGAAACAGGACATCTTGATGAAGCCCATTCCACATCACTAGCCTGTTGTATACTAGCCAATTGACCAGTTCTTGAATTCCCTGAATTTGAAAAATAGTCCATAACATAATCAACAACACATCTTTTATATCTCTAATGTGGAACAATGTTTTCAAATATTTCCTAACGTTTGACGATAGAAGCAACCCAAAGAGGATCATGAAGTTTTTACGTGAAAGATAATTTTTTGTCTTAAAAATTTAAAACATTCTAAATTTGGTGCTAAATTTGAAAAATTTATTGTGATAAATTGAAAAATTGAAAATTTTGAGTTAATCCGTTACAAAAGCAGAACATCTTACTACGATACCGATGGGTTGATAACACATTTGAATTATGCTAGCCTTACAGATATAGTGTTGGAGGTCATCATCATTGGCCCGCAGCAAAGTACCATCTGTTGACCAGTCCATCGTTTTTATCGAAGCATTCAACTCCTAAAAGCGGTTAAATTTTCAATCCTTAAGTTTCTATTTTTTCAATTTTGATGATAAAGTTGAAAATTAAATAACTGACAAGATTTTTTTCGTTCAAATTATTAGAACAATTTGACAGTTTAAGAAGAAATTCCGACGTTTCATACTTATGAAAATTATAAACCTACCGTAATCTGCGATACTTTAACAAAATGACGAAAATCACCGGATATAGCATAGATTGACAACTTCTTTCCCTGTAAGAATCGACAATTAAGCAATCAAACATTTCATCATAGCACACAAAAAAGAATAGAGTTTACAAAAATAAATAATTAGAAAAGAAAACTTTGAAAAATTTACATGCTTTGATCAGAAAATTTCGTTTCGTTTAATCAACCGATTAAAATTGAAGCAATATCACCAGCTCAATTCTAAATCCCACTAAACCAAAATAAGCTTTGAGAAGAAAATTCCCATTCAATTTACTTACTTTGGTTGCAACAGCCAAAAAATTGCCGATTGTTGAAAATCGTATGGTTGTAATCGCATTATTTATTTCTTCTTCAAAACTATAAAGCTGCGTTTGATGCGTGCAAATATACACAGCCCACGTCCCGCTGGCAAAACCAATGGCAAAAATATCACCATCTGGATGAAAATCAGCGCAACATATTTCATCCTGTGATTTTACGAAAGCTTTGGAAGAGTTCATGTATACCCAGTAATAATTTTAATTTCTCTACAATAATTACAATTTAATTTAGAATCAAAATAGCTACTTCTTTATTCATCTGACTATTGATTCGTATGTACATATATGTGATACCTTCAACAACACATATATATATTATGCGGCAAGGCAATTAATAAAAAAATATATAGTAATATCTTATGTTTAAAAGTATTAATAGTGTACTAATATCTCATGTTTAGACAATTCTTTTAGGAAAAATAGATAAAATCAAACCTTAACATGCAAAGTCCAAAGAACCGTTTTCGTTTCTGTATCGTACAATTGTAATTTTTTATCAGTTGAGGAAGAGAGGAATTGTGATTTTGTTGGATGCGAGGTAATATGTGTTACAGTATCTGCATGTGCCTAGATAGTTTTCAATACTGTCATTAATGTTCTAATTCAGGAAATCTAAATTTTCTAAAAAAGTCAAAAAATATTTAAACTCAGATTTTATTTTGTTCGGAGAAGGAAAAGAATTTGATTCATCAATTAACGAATGCTATGAAGTACTACCGAAAATGTTGTGGAAAACAGAAATGTCGTTTTCCGGTCTCTGGAGGAATAATAAAAATGAACCTGCTGAATTTGTTGAAAACCATTATCTAATGTGCCACTCCAAATTGTATTCCGTGTTGTACCAATGAATAAATGAGAACTTGAAGTTGATACTATAGTACGTATACAACCGCTTCCTTCATCTGGAAACTGAAATTGAAGAAATAAGGGCAGAGCTTGATAATCGTATAGATCATTCTCAGATTCAAATAATGGAAAGTTTATTTGGGAGGTTTTAATGTTTTAACTTTTGTTTTCATCTATTTATTACAACATTTTTCAACGTTTTGCAGGGAATATATGGAATGTGGTCTAGGTGTAAGACTTATCATTCAAGCTCCACATTTAAGCTTCAACAAATTACTTTTTTCAGTAACAAAATTCCATCTCCCATTTCCTACTTTCATTCTAAGAAGGCCCTCTGCATTATACTCACACTAATCGGACCACGAATCTTTGTCAAACCATCAGTTTCCCATTCAAACAGCATTCGATCCTTACCAGCCGAAATGAAGTGACCGTTACCAAGTAAGCATAGTGCCCAAACGCCGCCATTATGAACCTAAAATCACGATATTCTTATTTATTTTCCAGCAGAAATTAGCAATAGTGGTTCGTTCATTGAATATAAGTAAAATAGTTTGGACACAGTTTAATATATTAAAATTTTCTATATTTAAATAGCTTGATCAATACATTCTCGGACATCAAATTCCTTCCAATAATAGTAGAATATTTTTTCAGAACATTCATTATACTGTTATTACAATGGCTTGCAACAGCTTTATCCGATTGCATTCTCCTAATAATTTCTCGCCGCGTATTCTAATCATAGGGAAACACCTAACATATCAGAAATGCTTTTCACAGTACTAAAAAAATATATTTTAGATCGAAATTATTCATAATTGAAAATAGGTAACCTTCGGCACTTGGCGAATTGGTTTAACCTGATATGTATCCCAAATTGTTAGCGTGCCATTGGAATCACCTGTTATGATATGCCCTCGTTCAGTGAAATGTGAAGAAAGTACCAGCTTTGGTTTATTACGACCCTAAATTAATATAATTAACAAAATTTCAATAACGATTTCAGGAGCATATGGTTTCCAATACAAAGTTATATACTTTTGTTAATCAAGAAACTTAGTTAAATACTCCCAGAAACCAAGAAGCTTTCAAAGGCTTGCAAATGATAGTTTTCTCGGTTTACCCAGAACAATTGGGTGTGACATTTGTCACTTACGAATTTGTATTAAAAATTTGAAAAATTTGTTCGTTAAGACTTCACAGTGGAACTTCATTTCTCATCCTTCATGCCATTAATTGCTTAAGTGCTTTGCGACGTATCTTATTTCAATTGAAATTTTCCCTCCAGCTATGATTTGCACTGCTTATGGTGCTGTTAATAAACGCTGTATTCTAAGAAAATATATGTATGTATATACATACCTTCTTTTTCTCCCTTTTAGATGATTACGTTCCCTTAGAACCCGTTTTTCTATTTAAATGTCAATTTGCTGACAATACCTCGAATGTAATGGGTTTTTTGATGAGTGTTGCTCCATCGATAGTCCAAACATTGCAATGACCTTTACCGTAAGACATAAGGATAGTTTTGGAATATGGATGAAATTCACATGCAAACACTTGATCATTAGCACTCTATAAAAATAAATTTATGCTATCGCATATGATTCACTCGAAAATGTACTTAGTTAGTGTTTGGAAATGACAAGAAAGATAAAAGATTGAATTTTTTCCACTTGTCATTTTAAATTCCCATAATTATTAGAGAGTAGTTTGTATGAAAGATAAAAGATTGATAAAAGATAAAAGATAAAAGACCCAATAAAAGAAAATTCTCGGAATACACATAATCATTTATTCATGTATTTTACCAAAATAAATCCTCTTTTTTCTTTTCACTTTTCTTCGATCCGAAAATTTAAAAATCAGCAATTTAAAAAATGAAAGGAAAAAGTCATTTGAATTAATAACTATCCTACATCTCTCAATAATAATTCTTTTACAAATGATACTTTTTACCAAATAGAATTGAAAGGCTGAAATTAAGTCTTATCCAAAATTGCTTTCAAAATGGACGAATATCATTTATTTATTCATGGTCATTTCTTGCGCAATGCCAAACTATCCTCTAATAGCTGTGGGAATTTAAAATGATAAGTGGAAAAGATTTTTTATAATTTATAAAGATAATATATGCCGATTTTGATGCGCTTCAATATAAAGCATAAATACGTATATAAATTAAGAAGGAAAAAAAACTTGAATCTTACCTTAATTTCTGCAATCTTTTTCCCTTTTTGCCATTCCCAAACACTAAGTATATGTTCATAGGAATCATCAATAACTGCAAGTTGCATGCCATCCGTTGCAGCATGGCTAAATGCGCAACACTGAATACCTCGGTCAAAATTAGCGCTTGTATCACCTGTTCCAATTGTCCGTAACGTTTGAAGAGTTACCGAATCCCAAATATGTACTAAAGCCTAAATTTTTGAATAATTTGATGTTTAATTGCAGTTTAATGATATACGTTAATCTTTCCTGAAAATAAATTTGCATATTTAACTATTGTAATATGAAGCTAAACAATGGATGGATAAATAGTTAGATTAAATTATAAAGGAATGAATTTAATAAAAGGCTTAAAAAATTTCATATTATGATCCCCTTAACCAGATGAAGTCAAGCAAATTAATGACTAGAGCTAAAAGGTTGATTTGATGATAGTTGAAGTTGTATTCCGAGATCGGTGATGGAAGCAAACAAAGCATGTTTCGTATTAATATCATAAGAAGCATAAAGCTTAATGACCGAATATTCAAATGATATACTACTGTCTCTGTCACCATAAATTGGTATAATACCAACCAATGTTTGAAATATTAAACCATATAATCGAATAAGATCAAAATTAAAAATGAAAAAACAAACCTTATACTGATCAGTTTGCAAAATGTTGTTCAATTCCGTAATTGAAGATATCGGTGAGCGATGGATGTTGAAACCCTAGAAGGAATGAAAAAACTTTTTACTTCTTTAATTTTTTTTCTGAATGTTTAATAATTCTTTTCGGGTAACCTATTCATTTCTACTTCACATTTATTAAGAAAATTTATTCCCGAAACCAATTCCAAACATATGTCACATAGCGACAATAATAAAGTGTAAAATGAAGCTTGCTATAATAACAGCTGAAACAGGAATAGTATCATAACATTACGAAATCATATCCGAAACTTTTCGTTGAGCTAGAAAAATATTACAGTAAAAATGGAATACAGTAGAAAATTCAAAAGAGAAGGAAATTTTGAAACAAGCAATAGTATTCATTTCTTACGCCTTTTTCCAGATAACGCCTCGATGTTTGACCGGTGGCAATATGTAGTTTATTTGGATGAATAGCCATGCTGAAATTCAATTTCAAATGATTAATAATCTTTTTACAGCTCGTAATTCTTACTATTCGTGGAGAAAAATGGAATATTCGATATTCAGAACAGCAAAACTCGATAACTAGTATATTATTTGCTTGCATTTGTAAATAACTTACAAAATCTTGATCGTATAAAAATTAATTGTAGTAATATAGTAAAATGTATCAATTAACAGTAAATAATATGCTAAATACATGTAAGCAGTGAAACTTATGTGAGTAGCTTATGAATCTCTCTAACTTCTCAAGTGAAGTAAGTGTAAATTTATTATAGCTTCACGGCTTATTTATAGTAAACCATTAATAAATTACAAGTAAATTGTCGAGTGTACAAGTATATTGCCGAATGTTTTCTCATAAGTGCAAGTACTTACTTACGAGACAATTAGAAATACTTCCAAGATTCTGAAAAGATGGCAAATGAGTGGATATACCATTTGATATCACTGGTATGTTTGGTGTAATATCGTTGCGATCCTTCGTTAGGATTGTGCAATACGGCGATGGTACCCGTGAAATAAACAATTTCACCAGTTGGTAATTCATAAAGATTCCCACGACAATCTTTACCGCGATAACTAAAAAAATGCTTAGATCTAAAAGACTGTGATTATTTGATGGATGTGAAAATTTATTCCTAAATAAACAAATGATAACATTCATTATTTCAATTTACATAAATGATACAAAAAAAATTACCCGTAAACCCAATTAAGTGTCGGTTCACATGTAGGAGCATCAAGTTCACATGTAAGATCAAGACCGGTTATTGAATTCGGCACTGGAAGATGCACCGTTTTGCCGTTCACATATACCCGTAGTACACCTTTCTCACTCAGAAATGATGGCTCTCGCAGTTCTAATCTAAAATAAATTATTTTCTTACTCTTAAAATAAATTACTTTCGTAAACCGAATCATATATTTATATTTCTCATAACTCGAATGAAGTGAAGTTCTGATCCTGCAGTATTATCTCTTGTAAATGAATAAAAAATAATCATATCGTTGAAGCACGATTCTCATTATTTACTTTAAATCCTCATAAGATTTCAATACGTTACGTAAGATTGAATGTAGATATACTACATAACAAATCCATCATTATTAATATAATAATTTGAATTATACAAATATGTTTTATTACATAAACTGCAACAATACCATATAGTGTATCTGAAAAGCGTTTTTAGAACTGCAATGCTGCTTATCCTGACCTTTTATCAGTTAATCTGTTACATATTTAGCTCGAAATAAGCGTTAAGTTTATGCAAATTCAGTACAGAATGTTCTTCGATGGAAAAAAACGGAAGAAAATTAACCTGAAACGTGATAATGAATGCTGTGAAGTATTTAAACTGTTTGTTGGTCCAAGTTTACTAAAAATGAATTAACGTTGAAATTATTTAAAAAAAGGAAAGAAAGCTGAAAAATAAAGAAAAAGTGAAGAATGAGAGAAGAGGAATATTAAAGGAAACACAGCTTTAGATTCTCGGAGACATAGAAATGATAAAGTCGAAATAGGAAAGCACGTACGTACCTTGTTGATTTACAACATGATAAATTAGCTGTTGACGTGCCAGCTTTATTATTCTTCATTAAATGATCGCGTGAATTACATCTTTCTCCTTTACTACACTTCACATCAGCGCTACTCAGCCACTTTTTCATTCGTATCGCTGTCGTTGGCGTTTTAATATTCGTTTCTTGATTCTGTAAACCAAATTTCCCGTCATTCCAACGTATATAACGTCTTGATCTCAGAGCTGTTTGCACAGAAGGCTGTAAATCATTTCAATGCTTTTTTTTATTGAAAAGAATCAACAATAATTGTTAAAAAGTTGTAATTTGTGAATTATGTGAACTATCGAACTAAATATCCGTTAACAAACGAACAAAACTTGAGAAAACAAAAACTGAGAAATTGGAGAAGTACTAGAATTGGGGAAAATTGAGTTCAATACTTCCTGCTGCGATGAAGAAACATTGGATTCGGTTTTAATGACTCAATTTTTCTCAATTTTAATGATGTATGACTTCAATATTTTGGAATCAATTTATCTTATCAGCTGTTTAAAGCATTATCCTTAGATCTTCTTTAAGATGGAAAATTAAAAAGCGAAAATTATAAATCGATCATCAAGACTGATGATTTTTGGAACTTGATCGGTCAATTCAATTCGATATCTCGGAAACGAACCCCTACAAGATGCTTAAAACTTCCAACTTTTAGGCTATTCTTCATTCCGTTTTTCTTCGTCAGTTGCTTAGTCCATTTCTAATTAATAACTGTAATTTACTGAAGGAGAGAAAAAAAGCAAACAAATTTTTGAAAAATTTATTTTATCACTATCAAAATGGATTGGAAAAATTTTATCACTAACAGAAATTATTTGAACAAATCAAGTTTTAAGATATATCGATATATCTTTGATTTGATATACGTATATAT